AGCCTGGAATTGAACTCTCCCCTTGGCAAGTAGAAAGGAAAGAAGAAAATGGAGTCCTATTGACTCCTTGATTTCGGCCTTGTGAAACCAAGAGCAGAGAAAACCAGCTGAGTCCACCAGACCTACAGAACTGTGATACAACACATTGTGTTGTTAAAAGCCATTAAGTTTACAGTGATTTGTTGCAATAGCAAACCAATACATGTCTCAAATTATAAAACTCAAATTGATTCAATCTCAAAGGGTAGAGTTTACTCATGTCATAAGGGTCTGATACAGGATAGTTCTTGGGTTGGTAATTTAGTGACTTGATCCCATGGTCAAAGAACCAGATTCTTCTACATTCTGCTCTGCCACCCTTGAAATATCAGCCACTTCCCCTAGTGGTCACAGATGGCTGCAACCACTCCAGGTATCCCTTCCAGACAGAGAAAGAGATTTTCTTCTTAATGCATCTCTTTTAAGAGGAAAACAAATTTTCCCAGAAGTTCCCTAGCAGATATTTCATCCTGTTTTATTGGCTGGAACTAAGGGCCATGCATACCACTAAGAGAATCACTGACAAGGAGGATAGAAACAGGCTTGGATCAAATAGGTTTTCCTGAATCACACAGAATAGGGACAGGCAACAGAACAAAAGTCAGGACTCTGCCGTAAGGGCAAAGGGCAAAAACGAGTTAGTATTAATCAACAGTGTTTGCCTCAAGTGTTTTAGCTATCCTAGAACAAGTAGTGATTGACACAGAGCTAAGCTTTCCCAACTAAAAAGATGAGTGGATTAATCAGAGTTCAGCTCAGTATCCACCAAATTAAAATCCAAAGCCGGAGTAGAGACATGGATGAGTGGTCTTAAAGTTATAATAATAATAAAGTCTAAGAGACCAAAGATTGAACACTGAGTCTTAAAGTTTAACTCCAAAGCAGAGATTTCCAATCCATTAAAGAGTTTAGGCTCTGGGGAATGAGATTGGGAAGAAATGGAATAAGGCTTTTAAGCCAGAAGACCATAAACTGTCTGTGTCCCATATTAGGAAAACAAAGTCTCTGAGTGATGCTGAGCAGCTGGCCCTTGCTAAGCCTTGGGCTGGAGATGCTGTTCTGTGTATGTGGGGTGCATCTGCTCCATTGTTCCCACCCACCTTGGTATTGCGATGTCCAGCTCACCACCACTGCATGTTCGATGTCCTCGAGTCACGTCCACACTATGACAGCAAGCGGGCTGGCCAGGTCAGGATTTGTCAGTATGGGAAGAAAATCTTTCCAGCCTTTAGGAAGTCTTCTGGTTAGAGAAAGAGAGAGAAGATGGAGAGAGAACAGGGGACAAGAGAAGAAAATGAAAAGAAGAGAGATGAAGATGGGAAAAGAGAGGAGGGGAGGGAAAACTGTTGTAAATCAATGTGACCATCTCATTCCTCCACTTAAAACCCTCTAATCCCCTTCTGGTTGATGCCAACCATCACGTTTGTCCTTTTCCCATTCTGCAGAGCCGAGTTTTGTGCCATTGTCCACCTATATTTTATGTGACTCAGGCAATCCAAACTGAATTGATTGAGTCGGTCCATGGTCCCATCCTCCTTGTTGGTGATGATTTTAGTGGTTGGCTTTGGCCAATTCAAGGCAATGAGATAGGTCAGAAGGTCAGTTAGGGGTCTTATCTTAGCATGACTTGCATTTCCTGCACATTCTAGGCCCCAACAGTGTTTCTGGCTTCATCTCACATCCTTTAACCCTCCCTCTCTCTGTTCTGGCTACACTGAACTTTTTCTGTTACTCCCAAGTGTCACAGGCTCTTGATACCAGAGTTTGTTCTTATTCTACTTTCATTTTCCTCCTTCCCACAACACCTTCCTCTCTTTGCTTAAATGTCAATTCTTCAGGAAGATCTTTCTTGCCCACAGGCTAGATCAAGTTGCCATATATATCTCCATTGGCACCCTTTTCTTCATGCACTGATTCATTCCAAAAATATTATGTCTTATGTTGTCAGATTATTAAGTGTTGTCCACAGGATAATCAGTCTCAGAACAGGCATCTCCCTTGTGCTCAGCCACATGTGTGATTACTCAGTGAATGTCTGTCTTCCCAGCAGTGCCCAGAAAGCTCTGAGAGGGCAGGGATCTGTCATGTTTCCTAGTCCCCCGGCCTCTGGAATGGTATCTAGCACATAGCAGGTACCCAGTAAAAAGTTGTTGAATGAATGAGTGAATGAATAGATGTGGAAAAAAGAGAATTGAGGATCCTTAGACAACGGAAGTATCTTTACCTGGGCTGATGAGTAAAACCTTTCTGTGAGGGTGACCAACTGTCCAATCGTTTCAGTCTCGGACTGAGGGGCTTCCTAGGACTGGGACTTTCAATGCTAAAATTGAGAAAGTCCTGAGCAAACCAAGACTGGTTAGTCACCCTATCTATGGCTCTCCAGCCCAAAGGAGTTCCTCTGGGTGTCCTCACCTCCCACTCTTTTCTACCCATAATTAATCTTCTGGGAAGACTTTTCTATTCTACCTCTAAACGTTTCCTAAAATGGTAGATTCTCAAGGTCGGGAGGCTACATATTTTTACCACCAGAATTTTAAACTCTACACCATTAATTTCTGGATAGAGTGAAAGCTGCTAAAGCCTGTGTTCAGCCATTTGTACTCATCCTTTTCAACTTTCCTTAGCCTCCTCCTTTACTTACCCATTGCCTCCTACCAAGCCTGCCCAAGCAGTGCAGCATGGACGCAGAACTTCCCATCCTTATAAAAGTCTCTCCAAATCAAATCACTCTAGAGATGCCAACTAGAAGGTGCAAAATGAATCAATACATTCAACTATGTTTGTGTTTATTGGCGTCCTATCTCCAAGACACTTCCAAACAACTCCTCTATTGAGCAATGTTTCCCTTCCACATTGAACCCCTGAAAGAGAAAAGGGAAAAGCAAAGGTCTGTCTTGCGTATGGGCACACATTTGGATTTTCAATAGTTTTTTTCTCCAGAGATTAAAATATTATCTTCATAGAAATGATGGAACACCCTGAAAATGACCCCAAAGGCGAGTGGGAATCCAAACTGCAGCCTTTTTTTTGTTTGTTCCAAGGCATGGGGATAATGGCATAAGGCTCTTAGCTCTGGCCAGAATCTCAGTGTTCTGATTCCTTGCCCCGTTCTCTCTGTTCAACATCACCATGATAACAACATCTGTGTGTGTACATATCAGTGAATTGTTTTCAAGTGTGATTTTTTTATTTAAATATTAAATTGAACATGTTTTCAATAAGCACCTAGAACAAGCCTACACAAGGGAGCAGGTGTTCAGCTTTTCATTGATGCTGACTGGTTGGACTTATATTAAGGGTTGTTGAATTTTGGCACATTTCAATAAGGAAGAAAACACAATCTTTGGCAGATCTCAAAGGTAAATCTTCCTCTCAAGGCATTTTTGTGGGTTCCTTCAAGACATACTCCTGCCCATCGCTGGGGTCTCTCACCTGTGGTGTTCCTGGCATGGGCAATGGCAGGTCTCAGCTATTGAAAACCAGGTAGTTTACCTTCCTTTTCAGGTCATCTTACCCATCAGGCTCTTATGGGCTCTAACGTGACCCCCAGGCTATTTCTCTCTCACAAGTGATCCACATCTGGTCTTCATGAAACAGCCATCACATCTTGTGCTCATATAGATTCATTTCTTTTCACTTCACTGTCTGAGCCTCTGTCTAGTCAAGTTTCTCATAAAGTAGATTTCTGAAACATGCGTCAGATACCAGTCCACTGTATGCCCCAAGGCCCAGGGGTCACAAGCTTCTTAAATGTCCTGTTCAAATCCCATATTCTATGTGACAGAAGAGCCCACTGTGGTGGCTTCTGTTGGAGCCTTGCCCAAGTCCCTTTCACTAGGCAGGCACACCCATCTCCAAGTTGCTATGTCAGCTACCAACAACTCCCACTGCCTTTCTCTGGGAGGTCCCCTTGAGAAAGCAGGTGCTCCCTTGCCTAAGAGGTTATCCCTCTCACACCCCAGGTCAGCCAGTGGTCAATGACTGACTAACATGGGGTTCAAAAGACGGGACTCCTTGCTTCAAAATGAGACAACTCTGGGATACAATGCATGCTGCAGAGCTCCCATGGGATCAGTTGGATTGGTCTCCAGCTGAGACCCCATCCTTGCTTGGCTCCCTGCCCTTCCACATCCTGCTTCCCTCACTTCCCCCTTCCTGAGTACACCCACTCAATAAATCACTTGCACAAAGATCCCTGTCTCAGATTTTGTTTCTAGGAAATCCAGCCTAAGACATAACCCACCATCCATGGAAACAGGTCAGGCAGGAGAAACTAACAACACACTAACAGCTCTCTTTGCAAACCTCTCCTAGTTTTTTATCTGGCCACATTCACCCTTCCATGCCCTTCAGTGGCCTATAAGTGGTGAGTGGCAAGGGTATCCAAGTGGATTTTTACAGCTTCAATTTTTAAATCTAGCGTACGTGGGCTTACTTTGGAATGTAGGAAATGTCAGCATCTATTTGCTTGGGGCCAGGAATGAAATAGTTCCCTTTGACTCCCTGATATTATATGAGGCACATATAAAATGTGAAGCATATGATAGGAGTCTGCTGAATGATAGCTATTATTTTTCTACAAAATAATGCACTGAGAATTCTGCTTTCTCCATGCTACATGTATGTAGCATGCTATATCCTAGGCTCTGTGGTAAACATTATCTCATTCTTACAGTGACTCTTCAGGAAGTCACAGTATTATTAATCCCCATTTTATTGATCCTCATTCATAAAGCTGAATCTCAGAAAATATTCAATGCCTGGGCTTACTTCCAAACCCAGGTTTGTGCCCAAATTTTTATCAAATCTTTTTCCCGCAGTGCCAGTTTCCTACCGCGAAACTGCTCTCCCTTTTCCAATTTGTTGTTCCAATGATCTCAGTCAGCAATGATTCAAGCAACATGTTCTAGCTTCTTTCTTGTTGACACGTAAGTCTTGCTTTGTTTTTCCTTGGCATTCAGATCTGCGTGAGTTCTGAAGAAGAACAAGACGGCTTTATCAGAGTCCTCAGTGGAAAGAAGAGAGGCCTCATCCCTCTCGATGTCCTAGAAAACATCTGATTGCTGGCCCCACCTACTTTTGCAGTGGGCAAGCTCTGCTGCGATGCCAATGCCGCCTGCCTCATCTCACACTGTGTAAACCCAGAGGAGCTGCTACACTGACCCGGCCCCCAGAAAATAATGGGACAAGATTCAAGGGTCTGAGACTGTGGAGTAACAGCCACAAAACAGAGGGCCCACCGCACAGCATCGCCAGGCTGCCCAAGGTGGAGACAAGGCTGAGTGGGCCTCAGAGCCAGGTGCCTGCATGGCAGCAGCCACGGCAGGGCTGTAAACCACAGCAGTTCCCCAGGACCCAGCTCCTTCCCTGTCCGTGTGGTGTAAGTTAACCCGCTGGACTGTGCAGCAGGTTGTGGGTAGCCCCAATGCAAGGTTCAGATCCATGTAGCCAAGTGTTTTTCTGGTTCCAGACCTTTGTCCCCAGTACCAGCCAATCAGCATGATCACATTTCAGACCCCAAGCAGTCCCTCTGCAGAGCATCAGGAAGGCCTGCTTTCTAGCCCCCCATATTCCAGTGCTCCCCGGCACGATGCCCTCACCTTCTGACTGTGCAGTCCAGAGTGGCTGGCTTATCCTTTCTTTCCCTTCAGTCCTCTGAGCAAATCGTGCTGATGTGCATTAGACCTGAGGGCTACATTGACATGGCGCCAGCTGCAAAGACCCAGCCTGCCCAAAGACTGCTGACAGGCAGTCCTTCCTGCTGCTGCAGTTATTGGCAGAGGTGACAGAGCTGATAGGAATCATAGATATGGGGGAGGACAGAAGGGATAAGGTGGGGCAAAGACCCCTTATTTATTGAAGATTATACAGTCCTTTCAGTTATGAAGTCCTTTCTTGAAGGAGATGAAGCTGGGGAAGAGAATGTGGCCAAAGGCCATTTTCATTTTACATCCTCTGTATTAGGAGGTTGAACCCAACTTGCAGGGAACCAGGAACATGGAGGGGAACCAATAACAGCATCTTAGAAGAAATGCAGCCAAATTGGAATACATTCTTCTTTAGGACAGCATATTATATAAACCCTAGCAAATGTAAAATGGAAAAGAATCCTTAATGTTTTATTCCTCTGAAAGCAGAGGAACTTGGGGCCTATTTAGCATCATCTAGGGGAATCTCTTGTTACTCTGCACTTGTACTAATGTTTACAAGAATGCAATATACTGTGATGCCTTCCTCCTCAAGCCTCCTCCTAGCATTCAAACTTGCATCCTATTAGACATTAATATGATTAAACTTCAATTCACAATGATGTTGGAATCAATGTCAGTTTGATATATTTTGTTACTGAGCAATAAAATCATTGGAACAATGGTTTTTAAAAGACTTAAGTGGATGCATCCAGTGCATGTAAACATTATTTCCCAAACCAAAGCATCATTAGTCTCCATTTATTTATTTTGTTACTGCTCAATGTGAAGTGGGGAGCTGAGAGGGGATGGCTGCTGGCTTCACAGAAGTTTGGATGCCTTATTCTCATTTCCAAGCCAGCATCCAGAATTTCCTCCCTCTCTGATGCAACATGCAAAACCAGGTGTACAAAGTCAAGACGCGTTCTTTGAGAGCCTGGGTGGATAATATGATGGCCTTTCTGTGTAATTGGATGCCAAGTGTAAACACTCTTTCCCTCTAATTCAATATTCCATTTAATAAAGACAACACAGTGGCTGGAAGGAGCATAGAACATGTGTCCTGATGTCTTCTTTCTGTTGCAATATCCACTGAAGTTTTTTGATATAGTAATGTCATATCATATGCACATTTAATTTGCTTTAAAAAATTTAGTTTGCCTTTTGAAGTTGAGAAGAAGAAGGATAGGGTAGCCAGCCTTCTAGGCAATTCTCCCAGTGACCCCTGCCTTCTCATATTCTTGCCTTTCTGTATCCCCCTCCCACATTAAATCAGGGTTGGTCTTATGTGACCAATAGAAGATAGCAGAAGTGATACTACATGGCTCTTAGTCCACTTTCTGTTGCTAAAAGAGAATACCTGAGTCTGGATAATTTATAAGGAAAAGAGGTTTATTTGACTTACGATTCTAAAGGGTAGGAAGTCCAAGAAACGTGGTGCTAGCATCTGCTCAGGTTCTGGTGATGGTCACGTGCTGTGTCATAACATGGCAGAGAAGTGGAAGAGAAAGCAGGTGTGTGCAGAGAGAGAGAGACAGACAGACAGACAGAGAGACAGAGACAGAGACCAACACAAGGAGCAGCCTTGATTTTTAACAACCCACCCTCATAATAACTAATCTAGTCCCATGAGAGCTAAAACTCACTCACACCCACAGGAAAGCATTATTCTACTCAAGAGAAATCCCTTGCCATGACCCAAACACCTCTCATTAGGCCCCACCTCCCAACACCCCACAATAGCAATCAAATTTCAGTTTGATTTTCAGAAGGGACAAACCATATTCAAACATCTGAAGCTATGTCAAAAAAGTCCTTGCAGCTTCTGCCTTGATCTCTTAGAACACTCACTGTTGGAACCCTGAGATACCATAAGAATTTTATCTACTCTAAGACCACTATGAGGGAGAGATCCAGTGGAATGACCACACATTTCAGCAGCTGAGGTTACAGACATCACAGAGCAGAGATTAATCGTCCCTGCTGAGCCCTGCCCAAGTCACAGATTTATGAGCAAGAGAACTATATGGAGATTTTTAAGTCACTAAGTTTTGGAGTGATTTGTTATATAGAAACAAGGATAACTATGACCTACCAAAGTCTTAAAGGTCTCTAAGACTCAGAAAATGGATAGAAGAAGGACCACAATTTTTGAGTGGAGATGAGATGAAGACAGACTTTGATGAGGAGACAGGGAGAAAGGGGAAAGTGTTCATATGAGGAATAAAAAGGGAGTTGAGGGGACATTGTTCATAGTGTAAGCAAACAGCCTTGTGCCCCTCACCTCCTACCCCTGCTTCGAGCTAAGGTATGACAAGTATCTAGCTAAACCAGAAGGCTGTGCCCTATACTTCACTACCAATGCTGTAGGACTTCAATTCTATTAATATCATGGTAAATTTGAAGAACTGATTGAACCTTCTTCAGGGCTCCAGAAGGTAAAAAACAGAACTTCCTTTACCTCTATCACTAGCAGACATCTACATCAGCCTTAATGTGGGCAGAGGGGCTGCAAAGAGAACCCACGTATAGATGTCCAGATGGCTATTGGTAGGATTCATTTCAAAGACCACCTCTCCTCCCCCCAACCATACATCAAACCCACATACACTCTCTCGTGTGCCCTCTCTCTCTCTTTCTCTCTCTCTCTCTCTCTTATCAAGAAAAAGAGTCCAGCATCTCAGTTGCATATTTAAAGCAAGTAGTGGAGTAACACATGGTAAGAGCTTATTAGAGTTAGTCTTCTTTGCTATTAAAGGGAAAAAAATAAAATCAGTGGGAAGAGCAAAACACATGTAAATAGTTTGGTGCCAAGTACAGTTAAAAGGGAAACAAGAACCCCTAGAGGTCCAAATGCTGGTTCAGGTAACTTGCTACTCCAAGCAGAAGAGATCCGAGAAGGAACCCCACTTGCCAGCCTCAGCCTAGAGCCAGACCCAGGCAGAAATTCAGTTGTAAAAAAGTATCATGTGCTCAAACAGAAGCTTAGATTTAAATAAAGTGAATCTGACTTATTTACTCAGGACTTCTCAGAGCTTTTAATTTGCTAATTCTCATGATGAATCTGAAAAAGGGGATTTAAAACTGTGAAACACCTAGTAGCTTCACCTGGAACAACATCCCAAGGAACATAGTTTGGAAAATTCCACAGCAGAGAATTCTCATATAACATAGGATCACCTAATAGTCTCAGTTTCCCTAATATTCCCCCTCTTCCTATATCTCACTGAGATATCTATGAAGTATTGAAAAGAACCAAAGCACACAACCATAGAGATAAGTAAGGCTGAAGACAATCTACTCCATTATCTGAATCTATAAGAGAGAGAAGAAGGTGGGAACCTCTATATCCCAGGAGTGAAAAACTCAGGAGGAAGAGTAGCTGTATCATGCAGATAGCTTTAGCAAACAGACCAGCAGGGAGTAGGCTGTATCAATCTGAGTATAAAAGAAAGTTCAGTATTGCTCAAAATAGCATCCCCAGGAAACTGAGTGAGCAGGTGTGTTTCACAGATTTATCACAAAACAAAAACTCTTAAAAATAACTCGGACAGAATATTAAAACCAGTTTAATGACATCCTGTAACTGTCTTCTAGATTTTGTTCGGTTGCCATTCATTTGTGTGTTTTGTGCAACACCTGGTGTTTTGACCTTTGAATGTGTTTTTTCTTAGCTTCCAATAAGGAGTTTTAAATAGTCTTCAATCTTCTTGTGGGTAATACAAACTTTTACATATACCTTGAAATTTTAACAAAATGATAGTAATTTATTTTAATAGCTCCCTTTTAAAATTGAAAAGGTGGCATATTTTATTTTTATCATCTCATTGTCAAGCTTAAACAGCTATTGAACATCTTGCATAGCTTCGTGGAAGTCACAACCTACTAAAGTCCTGAAAATACTCACTGGAAAAGTGCAAGAACAATGGTTGATCATCTTTAATATTCCTCCACTGGTGTCATTCACTTAGGTTCTCAGGTTACTCACCTGATTCCATATTTTTCTATGCATGGAAAATTTTTTCTTTGTCTATCTTATTTTACCAGCTTCTTGAAAATTATGTGCTTAGTTCATCTACTTTTGTTTTTTATTAAGGTAAAAAAAAAAAATCAACCAAGGTTATGAATTTTCCTCTGAGGTCAGCTTTGACCATATTAAATAGCTATTTCCATTTCCATTTATTTCTAAATAATCTGTAATTATGGTTTGATTTTCTCTTTGATTTTTTATTTTGTGTGTGTGCACATGTGTGCAATTAAACCATTGTGCACTGTGGTCAGAAAATATAGTTGATATATTTTCTCCTTTAAGAAATTAGTTGACATTTTATTTTGTGCTCTAAGGTATGATTAATCTTAATAAATGTTCAACGATATTGGGGGAAAAAGTTATGTCTGCAGTATATAGAATCCAATATGTTATCTATTAAATAAATCCTTAAAGTATTCAGGTTATCTATAATCTCATTTATTTTTGCTCCGTCAAAAACAAGGGCAGGCAACAGTGGGGCTGTAATGAGAGACACCTTGCAAGGTCCTCCAAACACTTCCTTAGAGCCAGCCTTGGAGGGAGGA